TTTCATGTCTTTTGCCCATTTTCTAATGGTATTTTTTTTATATCATTGAGTTTTGAGAGTTCTTCACATATTCTAGATACTAGTCCTTTGTCAGATATATGGTTTGCAAATACTTTCTCCCAGCCTGTGGCTTGTCATTTCATCCTCTTCACATGGTTTATCAATTTATCCTTTTATGGATTGTGCTTTTGGTGTCAAGTCTAAAAACTCCTCGACTCACCTAGATCATTAAAAATTTTCTCCTACATTTTTATATTCCAGAGTTTCATAGTTTTACATTTAAGTGTGTGATCCATTTTTTTTTTTTTTTGCGTTATGCAGGCCTCTCACTGTTGTGGCCTCTCCCGTTGCAGAGCACAGGCTCCGGACGCGCAGGCTCAGCGGCCATGGTTCACGGGCCCAGCCGCTCTGCGGCATGTGGGATCTTCCCGGACCGGGGCACGAACCCGCGTCCCCTGCATCGGCAGGTGGACTCTCAACCACTGCGCCACCAGGGAAGCCCCGATGTGATCCATTTTAAGTTAATTTTTGTGGAAGTTGTGAGGTTAGGTCTAAGTTCATTTTTTTGCATATGGATGTCCAATTGCTTCAGCATGGTTTGTTTAAAAGGCAATCTTTCCTCCATCGAATTAATGTTGCACCTTTGTCAAAATCATCTCTGCATAGTTGTGTGGGTTTATTTCTGGATTCTCTACCCTCTCCCATTGATTTATGTACCTATCTCTCTGCCAATACCACGTTGTTTTTATTACCATAGTTATATAGTAAACTTTACTATTGGGTACAGTGATCCCTCCCACTTTATTATTGTTTTCAAGATGATTTTAGCTGGTCTAGGCTCTGTGCCTTTCCATATAAATTGTAGAATAAGCTTGTCTATGTGTATAAAAAACCTTGCTGGGATTTCAGTAGGATTTAGATTACACCTGCAGATCAATTTGGGGAGAATTGACATCTCTACTATGTTGAGTTTTCTAATACACGGACACAGTCTATCTCTCCATTTATTTAGGTCTTTAATTTCTTAAAGGTAATTTTATTAACCGTGCTGGATGAATTCTCAGAGAACCTCACACTGGTTATAATTAAAATGTAAAAGTACAATTTTGGTGCAACCTCATAGTATATTGAGATAAAATGTGACTATAAACATATCCTTTGGGCAATGGAATTGATAAAAGCAGTTTGCAAGCCAGTTTCCATGTTTGTGGCATATGGTGGTCCATAGCAGTGAAGGACTGCTTTTCAGTAGTAGAAATATAATGTAACACTTATTTTTTCATTTCTAGTTTTATGCACTCTTTTGTACATTTACTGAATGATTAATTGATATGGATCAAGAGTCAAGAGTGAACGTCTGAAAGAATACACTGTAGGCGTTGTGGCAGTGCTTTATGCTTCCTACCACCACAACTTTCCGTAGGCAGAGCTCTCATCCTGCATTTGCCAGTGTGCTTCTGTATATCCCCAATGAGACTGTAAACCACAAGAAGATACCAACACATTTCCAGTCCCTAGCCACAGACTCGGCACATAGTAGATGTTCATTACTTTTTTTTTTTTTTGGCGATATACGGGCCTCTCACTGTTGTGGCCTCTCCCGTTGCGGAGCACAGGCTCCGGACGCGCAGGCTCAGCGGCCACGGCTCACGGGCCTAGCTGCTCCGCAGCATGTGGGATCTTCCCAGACCAGGGCACGAACCCGTGTCCCCTGCATCGGCAGGCGGACTCTCAACCACTGCGCCACCAGGGAAGCCCCATTAAATATTTTTAAGATATCTAGCAAATCACACTATTTGGGGATTTATACTTGGTTCTTTTTCTCCTTTGTGTGCTGGATTAGGCTTAGTTGAGTTCTCTTGTGCTATTTGAAACCACCTCTATCCCTCATTTCATAGAATATCACACACTTTTGGTTTATTCCCTACCCTTTGACCCTTTCTTTTACTAGCCTTTTATTATGAGTATTCTTTTAACTCTATACTTTGAGCTACTGGATTTTTTTTCTCTTTCACACTGTAGGGAATATCCCTCATCAGTCTGTCTGCTTGGTATCTTTACCTTTGAAAAATGACCCCTCTCCCATACCAAAGGATTACAGTGGTGGTTTCTAATCTGATTACACCTGAATCAGATCAGAAAAACTCATCTTTTTGAGCATAGTGATTGGTCCGGGTATGGACACATTGTCAGAGCAGAACTAATGAGAGTTCATTTGGGATTTTCATATGGATGCTGGGGGAGGGAAGGTCACCTTTAAAAATCTGGGATTGTAAACTGAGATTTAGTCATTTAAAAGATACTTGTTGAGTTCCTACCCTGTGCCGAGAACTGTTTGTGGACTCTGAATGCCATAAGCCAGCAGCTGTCCTCAGTCATGGATGCTGCACCAGGGAGAGGAGAGGGCTTACCTGGGAATGAAGCTGACACAAGGAAAAGCAGCTCGAAGACCTAGAAAAGGAGAACAGCCCTTGTGATCTTTCTTGAGCGTGTGGATCCAGGTGTGGCTGATGATTATGTTGGATTTCTAGTTAATAAGGAGCCATACAATTAAAAAATTCACTAAGTGTTATCATTGAGTAAAACACATGCCACAGCTCCTAATCATTTCACGATCTGAATCTTCATTTTTGTCTGCTAGTCCTTAATTTTATTTCTAGATGACTACTGTATACTACCACTTGAATATGCCAATGATCTCTGAAATAAAACATATCCAAAAGTAAACTCATTATTATAATTTACCAGAATATAAGCTCCATTAGGGCAGGGACTTTGTTTTGCTCACTGTTATGCCTCAGGGTCTATAAGAGTGCCTGGCACATAATAGGCACTCAGAAAATATTGTTGAACAAGAAATTAAATCCAGACCCCTCAAAACTCTCAGATTATGATACATTTCCAATTATCTTTAGTGAGTACTTTTCCTTACCTTAACAGTCCTCAATGAGGTTGAAATGTGGTGGTTTGGAGAGTGAGTTTATTAAAATCAGTCAGGGAACTCTTGTCAGTTGAGAACTGCTGCTTCTTAGAGTTATACATGACATTAAAAAATTAAATAAAATCAAGCTTTGCATGAAAAAACTCACATCCCTGTTAAACCATTCATATAATGTGAAGACTCTTATAAACTTCCTACTTTTTCAGCTTTGTAAATGTTTCGGTTATCTTTTGCCATTATCTTAAACCACCACAAAGTTTAGTGGGTTGGAACAATGACTATTTTACTGTATCTCATGGCTCTGAGATTTAGGTAGGGCTTGGCTACGTGTTTTTTGTGTTCATGTTGGTCACTTTGGGTATTCAGTTGCCAGATGAGCTAGTCTGGCATACCCGTGTACGTGATGCACAGAACATCACTTCAGCACTCTCTTATTTTCAATAATAACATGAAATCAAACTACTAATAACAAAGTCCACAAAAGTAATAGAGACAGTGGAAAACTTTTCTTTTATTGAACTTTGTATAAATAATTATACCAGTTAAAAAAAAAGAATATAAAATAGATACTACAGTACAAAAACAGGGAAAAAGCACAAATGTCTATTTGGTAGTTTTTCATTCTAATTTACATAGCCCGAACCTTTGGTTGCAGTCTGATATAATAATATTTTAGGTAAATAATTGTCCAATGATTAATAACTGAATTTTACAAAAGCGGAAATGTCTGCAAATGATACAAGTTAGGCAATTACTAAATTGTACCACTGATATAACATCTTATTTTCTTGATTTGTTCCTTAGGTTTAAACAATTAATAATTAAAACAGAAGAACAAATTTTAATTTATAGAGATATTATTTGAATTCAGCCAATGTTTCATGTATGGACTAAAGTTTGCACTTACCAAACATTAATATTACACTTTGCAATTTGCACCTCGTTTTGCTGTTTTAGATTATTTAAATAGAAAATAAAACTCCAAATGGTCAGGTAGAATGATGGAACTGAAGGAATGCAAGATCTGTTTCTTTGCCTTTGCAACTACTGTGCTATCATTGTTTATTTGAGTCTATCATCTAAATGTAGAAATATAGTCCTCCAGGGATTGGAGAAGGCGCAAGTCCATAATGTCCACAAAGAGAGTGTGAAAATATATATGTATATGTCACTGTCCCTGTTTCCCCACCAGGGCTCCTAAAACCCTTATAAATTCCTAAGTGTTAACACTAGGAGCATCTCTTGTTCTAATGGGGCAACTCTGGGTGGGCTCCTGGAGGGCTCCTGGATGGGGGCTGGTCACCAGAAAGACTAAGCCATGATTAGAAGCTTGGAATTTTTAGCCCTACCCCTTAGCCTCCAGAGAAGGTAGAGGCGCTAGAAACAGAGTTAATAATTGATCATGCCTATGAAATCCCAGTAGGAGAAGGTTTGGGAGCTTCAAGACACATCCACACCAGGAGGATGATGCACCTAACTCCACAGGGACAGGAGCCCCTGTGCTCAGGACTCTTCCAGACCTCACCTTATCTATCTATCTGTCTATCTATCTATCTATCTATTCATCTGGGTTGTTCATCTGTATCCTTTATCATATTCTTTAACAAAATGATAAGCATAAGTAAGTGTTTCCCTGAGTTCTGTGAGCCACTGTAGCAAATTAATTGAACCCAGAGAGGGGGTCATTGGAAGCTCTGATCTATAGCCAGTCGGTGAGAAGCTCTGGTGGTAACCTGGGCTTGTGACTGGCATCTGAAGTGCATGTGTATGTCTGTTGGGGAAGCAGTCTTGTGGGACTGAAAACTTACCCTGTGGGATCTGATGTTATTTCCAGGTAGATATTGTCAGAACTGAGTTAAATTGTACAACATCCAGCTGGTGTCATGGAGAATTCCTTGCTGTGGGCAAAAACCTCCACACATTTGTTGACTAGAAGTATCAGAAGTGAAGTATTCTGAAAAGTAGTAAAGGGGACACACAGGGAAGAAACACAGTAGGGAAGAGCTGGGTTTTTTCCTACATAGGTGAAGAACTGAAAAGTTTTTTTTTTCCTTTTCAGAGTTTGAAATGAACATGCTTTGCTGAGCCTGGTATGTTGGAGGTTGACTGTATAATGGAGTTCTCCACATTAACTTCCATGCAGAATATAATGTTTATTAAAGGACAAGTAACCCAAATAGGCTAATTTGAAGTTTACATGGATATTATTAAAACTAAACAGTAAGTATAGCAATTGTTTAGAAACTAGGCCAACAAAAGATTTTTTCAGGTAGTAAAGTTTTATCACTGACATTGTTTAAAATTTGTAGCTCATGATCATGATAAAAATCAGACCAAATTTGTTTTATTATTGTTTTAAAATTCTGAATCCCTTTGTCACCTGTACCTGGGAAAGATTGGTACACTATAGGTTTAGAGGGTCCGAGATGTTTGGCGCTTTCTCCCAAATGGCGGGAAAGCTGTGCTCAGCTGAGAGTGTCAATAGGAGTAACTATTTGTGGCCTCTCCAGCATGGTAGCCTCAGGCTAGGCAGACTTCCCCCTTGGTAATGCAGGGTTCCCAGAGAAGAATGTCCTAAAAGACTTAGGCAGAACTGCAAGGCTTCTTAGACTTAATCTTGAAAGTCAGAATATTTACTTCCCATGCATTCTATTGGCCAAGCCAGTCCAGATTCAAGGGGGAGGGAAATTAGCCTCCCGATCTTGATGGGAGGAGTAGCAAAATATTTGCAGCCATTTTTAATCTTCCAGAGTCAATGTAATTTTTATTTAGAGGCCATACCTCCTCTATCTTTGCATTAAGTTTTGCTCCACTCTATTTACCTCTTATTCAATAAGTGCCCTGTCTGCTGGTTCTTCCTCTGTCAGGCCCTTAGAATATATGAACTAATCATTGTGACTTCTGATTTTAGTCCTTTCTTTTCTTTTTCTTTAATATATATATATTGTGTGTGTGTGTATATATATATATATATATATATATATATATATATATATTTATTTATTTATTTATTTGGCTGTGCTGGGTCTTAATTGTGGCATGCATGTGGGATCTAGTTCCCTGACCAAGGATAGAACCCGGGCCCCTGCATTGGGAGCGTGGAGTCTTAACCACTGGACCACCAGGGGAGTCCCCTTTCTTGTTTTAATTTATTTGTTTCTCAAAGGCCCATTTGAGGCAGTGAGCAGTATAGCATAGTATAGGTGCACAGGCTCTGGAGCTATGCTGACTAGTTTCAAAGGATAGGTATCTAACATCTCCGTGCTCCAGTTCCCCTATCTGTACACTGGGGATAATGGTGATTGTAACTAGCTGCCCAGTTGTGTGACATTTAAATGGCTTCATACATATAAAGCTCTTAGAGTAGTGTCTGTCACATGGCATATGTTGAACAAATGATAACTATTATTATCACCATATATCTTGATTGGGTTCACTCAGCAGCAGACCCTGAAACAAAGACCTGAGTGCAAATAGTTTATTTGGGAGGTGATCCCAGTAAACAGCAGTAAGGAAGTGAGGATGTGAAATATGGAAGGGAAGGTAGCCAATAAAGGCAATTTACCACCTTGGAAAATTAGAGCTTCATCTCACTGGAGAACTTTGGGAGGCAATGTAGAACATACATTTCACAGTGATCTCATCCCAAGGGACAAGAGAACCGAGTACTTATACACCAATAGTCATCTATCATTGGATAAAGACTTCTCCCAGGGGATGTTAATTCCCTGACACTTCCCTTCTGCTGTGTGAGAAAATCCTTAGACAAAGAGATACAGATGGTAGCAGTTGGAGGTCAGGTCATGGGCACAAAAGTGACAAGCCTGGCCAAGAGATATGGGAAGGGCACTGATGGCTTCCACTACTCCATTTTATTCATCTACCCAGGACTCTAAATTGGGTTCCTGTATGTGTTGACCACTCTAAGAATTGGCCAAATGTAGCTTAGAGAGAGAGGGAAATAGTTTCTGAAAGTTGGAGAGAGAAAGTAGTGAGGGAACTAGAAGTAAGAGATGAGAGTGGGATAGTGCCAATGATAACTGGCTTACATGCCTACATGGATAACTTTATTGAATATTCAAAGCCTCTCATCAATTGGGCTTTCTGTATTTATCCACTGTGTTCCTTAATGTTTTCTTTTCCTTCAGTTAGAAAGGCTGAGCTACTTGCCATGGCATACATGAATCTTGATCATTTCCACTTTAAATGTAGAATGACAATATCATGCATGTAGTAAAGTAGGAGGAGATCACTCCTTACCAGCTCAGTACAGATTTATGGCTGCAAACAGTGTGTAAACTACTCAAAGCACAAATTTTCCTCAAACTCATAGTCAGTATTCATAAGTATTGGGGAAGTTACTGTAACCTACAGACTAATACTTCATAGGCTGGTGAGAGTTTGGAAAAAGTCATTCAAGTCTGCTACTGATCAGTTACCCTAAAATTGGAACCTTCCATTCAGTTATTCATGGGTCTTCTCTGAAAGCCACACAACAAAGGTAGTGTTAAATTAATTAAACAAGGAGGCCATTAGTCTGAGTTGGCTCTAATGCCATAGCAGCCTACTTAAGCAAACCAAAATCTAAGTCTGTAAATGCCTCAAGGTTATAAAATTGAAACCTAAGGATAACCAATCACAACCAACCAACTAGGCTCTAAGCTATAGCCAATCAATAATTTCCTTACTTTACTTCTGCCTTTTCTTTATAAAAGTCTCTCCCTGGAGCTCCTGTCAGTGGAGTGCTCCTAACTACTTCTGGTTCAGTGCTGTCTGATTCAAGTCAATTTTTGCTCAAAGAAACTCTTAGAAATTTTAGTATGCCTCAGTTTATCTTTTAACAGTAGGAAGAGCACTCAGGAAAACGTCTTGAGGGAAGGACATTGTGTTTGGCTTATATCTCTGGCTTGTATCACCCTGGGTTGATTTTGGATCTGATCTGTGACCCAGGAACAAAAAGGATTTAGTGCTGGGCTGGTTTTCACAGAGGGAGGCTACCATCTCCTACTGGAGTTATTTGGGCTGAGCCACACTAAGAATGTTTCTGAAGTGGTATACTCATTAAAAAATCAAAACCAGAAGAAATCATGGGAGTAAAGCATTGCAAATCACTTCTGTTTATTTAGGCATGGTGTTACCACTGTGCTGGCAGAAGTTTTATTTTTTCAGTTTGGAACAAATCCCATGAAATCAGAGCTAGCCTCATCAGATGTTCAATCAGCAAGTATTTGGTGAGTGCTCAAGGAATACACCACTGAACATGGGGAGTGTATATGAAAAAACCCCAAAACTCTGGTCTTGAGGAGTTTATAGTTTTATAGGTCAAACTAATGTGTAATCAAAATAAATGTAGACTTATAAATGCAATAATTACTGTTGTGTATTTAGGGTGAGAGATGGATGAGAACTGAAATACTGGGTTGAAGAAAGGTTAGAGTTAAGTGGAGAAATCTGCAAAGATATACGTCCCTGACCCAACCTACTCCCTGATTTTTCTCATTCAGACTCTAAAAGAGGCTGTAACTACAGGCTGATGAACAGCCACAAAATACTTTGGAGGCTTTACGGTAGAAAGACCCTTGGTGATGTGCAGACCAACACTGTTCAATAGAACTTTCTGAGATGATGGAAATGTTCTGTGCAATACTGTAGGCACTAGCCACTGTGGGCAATGAGCACTTTCAAGTGTCAGTGGAATGGAATCTTTTATTTAATTACATTGAGATTTAAATAGCCACATAAGACTGGTGGCTACCATATTGGATGGCACAGGTCAAGACAATGCTTTCCTCTGAGAATGAATCACCTCCTAAACAATGGAAACTGGAGGAACAGACAAGAACAAGGGCTGGTGCTAGGCAATGTGGTTCAGGTGGTAAAAGCAAATCCAAAGGCTGCTGTTTGTGTAATGAAGGCCCATGTCAGTAAGGGCCTAGTCTGGAGACAGAAACCACACCAGCTATTTATTTATTTATTTAGAGGTGAACTTGACATAACATTAAAGTAGCCATTTTAAAGTGAACAATTCAGTGGTGTTTAGCACATTCACAACATTGTGCAATCACCACTTCTATCTAGTTCCAGAACATTTTCATCACTCCAAAAGGAAACTCCACATCCATTGAGCAGGTGCTCCCATTCACTTCTTTCTCCAGCCCCTAGGAAATACCAATCTGCACTCTAACACTATGGATTTACCTATTCTGGATATTTCATATAAATGGAATAATACAATATGTGATTGTGTGTGTGTGTGTGTGTCTTTGTGTGTGGCTTCTTTCAATTCACAGTGGCATTATTCACAGTAGGTAAAATGTGGCAACAACCCAAATGTTCATCAGTGGTTGAATGGGTAAACAAATTTTATCTATCCATTAAAGAGGAATGAAGAACTGGGGCTGTGGCAAGATGGCAGAGTAGGAAAACCCTGAGTTCACTTCCTACCATAGGCGCACCCATATTATAACTATTTACAGAGCAACTATCTATCAAAATGACCTGAACTAGCAGAAAAGATCTTCTACAGCTAAAGATATACAGAAGGACCCACAAAGAGATGAATAGGAGAGATGAAGATGCAGTACAGTCAAGATCCACCCACCACCCTGAGACGACCCACAGATGGGAGGATAATCACAATTGCAGAGGTTCTCCCCCAAGGAGTGAGGGGTCTGAGCCCCATATCAGGCTTTCAAGCCTGGGGATCCTGCACTGAGATGACAAGGTTCCAGTATGCTTGGCTTTGAAGGACAACAGGGCTTGTGTACAGGAGAGTTGAAGGGCTGTAGGAACCAGAGACGCCACTCTTAAATGGCACATATAAAACCTCATATGCTCTGAGTCCCAGCACAGAGGCAGTAATTTGAAAACAGCCTGGGTCAGACCCACTTGATCTTGGAGAGCCTCCCAGAGAAGCAGGAGGCAACTGGGGCTCCCCCTGGGAATATAGACACTGGTGGCAGCCTTTCTGGGGAGCTTGTTCTACCACGAGGACACTGGTGCTGGCAAGTGCCACCCTAGCCTATCATCGCTAGGCACTTACCTGCCCACCAGCTGGCTGGCACCAGCCCAAGCCCCTTCAGGCCTGCAGCCAGCTGTGCTGGGACATGGCACTGCCCACCACTGACCTGCACTAGCTCTGGGCCCCTGCAGCTCCCAAAGCCACAAGTGGGCCGGCAGCC